TACTGAGGATAAGGGGACACTCTTTATGTCTGGAAGAAAAGAGATTTAATCTTCAGATATGAAAAAAGCCTTCTTTACAGTAAGAGCGGTGAAAATGTGGAATAGACTCCCTCAAGAGCTGGTTTTGGCCAGCGCAGTAGATTGTTTTAGGAAAGGCCTGGAATCTTTCCTAAATGCATATAATGTAACTGGATACTAATATTTATAGGTAACATTGATCCAGGGAATATCCAATCCCTCCTGAGGGTTCAGGAAGGAATTTTTTTTCCAAGCTGGAGGAAATTGGATCATGCTTTATTGTTTTTTTTCCCTCCTCTGGATCAACTGTGGGTATTGAATAGTGTATATGGAGGTTTACTATTTGTATGTGTTGTTGTATTTTTTTTTCTATTACTTGAACTAGGTGGACTTGTGTCTTTCTTCAACCAGATTAATTATGCAATTGACTGTACTGGTGTGTGAGGGCTTTTTGTAGAGACCTGACTATATGTCTGGGCTCCACCTCAGCTGACAGAGGAGGTCTCTGCCAGAAGTCGGGAGGGCTCCACCTAGGAGAGACAGGTGAGAGCCAGAGCAGCAAGGTGCTACAAGTTATTTGCACAGGATTGTGTATGAAGACTGTCTGTAGGAGGAAGACAAAGGGCGTGAAGGGTAAGGTCAGAACAGGAGCGTTGCATGTATAAACCAGAAGGGTGTGCAGTCTATCCATGCATTCAGAAGGAGGCCAACTTCATCAGGGGTATGAAGAAGGTGTCTTGACCTTTTAAATGCACTTGGTTACAGTGGGAGGAGTGTTGGATTTTGTTTTGGAGTGCTGGCCCCAATCTGGTGTTACCAGTGGAGAGTTTCCCCCCTTTCTGAATGCATAGATACACTGTACTCTTGTGAGTAGTACCTTTATCACAAATAAAGTTTTTTTATGCTTGTAATGCACAAGGAGAGGTTCTCTTTTTGTTTCTTCTTCTGTTTTGCGTTCAAGGAGAGTATAAGGTCCAGAGCAAGAATGAAAAAATGTGTGTGACACTACATCCTTTGGAGGAGTAGGTTGGTGCAAGCTCAAAGGAAGTAAGACTGGAGAAAGGCTGACAGTGAGGCTTAGGCAGTTGAATGTCTGGGGCTGGAAGAATGATCCAGAGAGAGGCTTGGAACTCAGGATGCTGGGATAGTGTCTTTCACCAATTGTTGAGGCTTGGAGCACAGTGAGCTGGAATTGCACTAATCCAAACAAGCTCATTGTGGTCAGACTTTTGACATTTCAACCGTGGTACTGGTATGTGCAATTTGACATCGTGTACTACAGCAAATTTGTTTAACAGAGAGGAAGAGGAGAATTAAGCTGAGACTGCTTCCAGAAAGTAAACTTTGGACTTGTGATATACATGCAAGATTAAGTGGGTGAGACTTCCATTTTCTCCTGGAGGGAGAAACGTGGATTCAGAAGTGCTGTCCTTTTTGTGTCTATTAAGGTCATAGTCTATATTACTGATTAATAAAGTTGTTATAGACAGTTAATCAATCCTAATGTTCACTTGCCTGATTCCAACGCAATCTTCTCTCTCCTTCATCCTCATTTTCTCTTTTAAGATCATAAACCTCAAGTCATTATCCTTATGACCTTGTTCCGAAAAGTGTCTTGGGGCAGGTACATGTGTTTGTTTAAATCCAATAGATTAATAATAATGCTGTGCTATTATTTTTCCTCTGTGATTTTCCCCAGGTAGATCAGCCACATGATCACACAAATATATACATCACAAAAGATGGTTGACACAATAATCTGAAAACTCTTGACTGTGGTGTGCAGCATAGACAAGGGAATGACTCCGCTCTTATTGGATCTTAAAATGTTTCTTTAGAGGTTATGGTGATCAACATTCACACTTTATCAACATAATCCATAGGCTATGATTCCTTGCAATGCCATTTGTTGAAATTCATAAATGTTTAGAGAAGAAACCATGGGTATCTGCAAATTCTCCCTAAGAATGCCAAATATGTTATTTTTTTTTTTTTTGCATTGGTACATATTACTCAGGACAGTGACTACCACTTTCTGACACCTCTTTTCTTATTTAATCAGAAAATTGCCATTTTAGACAAATTTCTGTCTCATCGATTTCAGTAGGGTTATGATTTGGCATCCAAATTTGAAGTCTGCTGTACCCCTGCCAAACCAAACTCAAGGTCGTTTGGCTCATCACTACCAGAGAGTATAATCTAGTGCAATAAGGCTTATGGACAACGGAGTACAGGAAAGGCTGCTTGCCTTAAATAAATTAGGGCTACTACAGATGAAGTTAAACTAGCCAGCTTTACTCTCTGACCCTTGAACAGGAGAAATCATTACAGTTTAATTAGCAACACAGGGTGTATGATTCCATTCCGAAACTTGCACATTATTTAGCATGCTTGCATTAAACATAAAAAAAATTATGTTAAGTTAATTTCAGATTTTTTTGCATGTCCTGCTTTTGGTGTACTTTGTAAATTACGGGTGGAACAATAGGCAGTGAAGTTTTCTAAAAAAATAAACTCTTTTCTAGAATATACGGCTGATTGGATGCAGTTTGGGCTGATTATGTATAGTTTCCTTAAAAGCGTAATAGCTTTAAATGTCAGCCATATTTGTACAGGTTTTTACAGCTTGTTGAGAAATATTTGTTCAATTTGGGCTAGTTCTTCCCTTTTCTTTTTTAGAAAAAAAAGGAAACACAATGCCATGTCCATGTTTCCACTCTCCAGCCAAGTTTCCCACCAGAGTTATGGAAAAGATGCATCCCACCCACCATAAAAATATTGAAATTACTGTATTTAGATGAATGGAAATGAACGTTCATTCCACTGGAGAATTGCTCAATTTATCCAAAGGACCACTTACCATCCTATTACAGGCATAATTTAGCAGGTTAGATGAAGTCTGTAGTCACAGAAAGCACCTCCGGTTAGCTCCAGTTACCTTGCAGAATCAAATAGGGATACTATTTTCAACACTGCAAGGGTATGGTGTCAGCAGTCTAATACGGAAAAATAAATTCTTTATTTGAGCACTAATGTAGCATAGGAGTCATGTTTATTGGAAGGGTGCAATTATACATTGGCTCAGAGTAATATTTTCAAATGCAGTAACTCATCAATTACTGTATAAATGACATTTTTTGTTATTTTCAGCTATTTGAATTAAAACATTAGTACATGCCACATTCACATTGGTATGTCTAAAGAATAGTAGAAGGTTTTGTCCCTGTACCACAGGCTTTTGCATATTTTACTCAGACTTGCTGTCTAGCATGAAATTCATGTAGTTTCTCCAAAGTACAATTACACATCAAGCAAGAGTCATTAAACAATTTGGCTTAGGCATGCTGTGGACTGGTGGTTTTATTTTGCCAATTTGTAATCGTTTGATAAACTGAATGCTTAAATGTTACTTTCAGTATACTGAAACATTACTTTAACCAATCTCACTTTTGGTATTAGCTATGTTGTGTAAACTGCATTAAACCTGTTATTTACCCAATTGTGTGGAAACACCGTCCTTCCTCTGTCTCCTGCCGCTAGAGTTCACCTACAAAGTAATAAAAAAGGAACAAGCTCCTGATATCATGTAAGTACTCATCTACCGTAGGTTCAAATAAAATTCAGGTAAAATATATTAGCAGCATAAATAGTAAGTAACTCTGGACCTTATATAATAATAAATGATTATGTTTTTATTTAATTTCAATAAAATGTGTTTCTAAGTGCCAACATTTAAGTGCAGTAACTCATAGCAACCAATTAGAAATAATATTGTCTTGGTTTGAATTCAAATTAGTTGCTATGAATGATGAGATTTGAGTTTACGCTCCAAATCCAAAGCTAGCCTGTTTACAGTTCATCAAACCAACTAATTGGTCAGTTTGCTCAACCAAATTACCAGCTTAACAATTACCAAATCAACAATTAGCCACAGATCCTGGGCGATGTAATTGAACAAATATATGAATGACATCACCCAATACCCATCAATTGGTGAGGATTTACATCACTGGATGAGGTAATTGATGATGGATTTACATTGTGGATTAAATTACTCATCAAGGATTTACATCAGAGTACATTTTTAAAATGTTTTAATTGTATTTTTGAGTAAGCTAATGAAAGAACATTTTCATTTTTGTGGTGTGTTTAGTTATATTTCACTCTTTTTGGGAACAGGAACTAAGTTGTACTGATCTGACCCTGTACTAATTACCACTGAAGGGGTGGATATCTATGGGCCCCCTTACTATAAATTCCAGATTTCTTAAAGCTCCCCTACAAACCCCTACATCCTTTTTTCGGGAATGGATGTGGGAAAGAGGCCCTTGTCCCTAAACTTTAGGACATAGTGCCTTGCAGTGGGGGGAGGCTTTCCCACCCCCTCTCCTGCAAGTTACATCCCCAATGTTTAACCTCATCCCACCCGCCATATAGTACAATGACGGGTGCAAGGCGGTTCTGTCGCCCTGGGAGGATGTCATATGACGTCCTCCCATTCTAACCGCGCATGCAAGGCTCCGGGAGCGTGCAGCGTGGCGATCGACGATGCGCTGTGTCCCTCGGACACAGCGGATCACCGATCAATGGAAAGAGTCGAAGATGTTGGCTCGGTCATGTGATCAGCTGTGTTCAATGACAGATGATCACATGTAAACAGGGAAATACCGGTTATCAACATTTCTCTCCTCACGAGCTGTCACGCTGACAGAGGAGAGGAGAGCCAGTAATCAGCATTCCTCGGAGGGGACATGTACACAGATCATCAGGGCACTGATGATCAGTGTGCCCTGATGATCTGTGTAGCCCCAGCAGTGCCACCTGTCAGTGTCCATCAGTGCCAGCTGTCAGTGCTCATCAATGCCGCCTGCCAGTACCCATCAATGCCACATTTCAGTGCCCATCAGCGCCACATCAATGCCACATATCAGTGCCCATCTGAGCTGCCTTTCAGTGTCACCCATCAGTGTCAGCCAGTGCCACCTATCAATGCCAGTCAGTGCCACCTATCAGTGATGCCAATCAGTGCCACCTATCAGTGCCAGTCAGTGTCGCCTATTAGTGTCAGTCAGTGCCGCCTATCAATACCCGTCAGTGCTGCCTATCAGTGCTGCCTAACAGTGTCAGTCAGTGCCACCTAACAGTGCCAGTCAGTACTGCCTATCAGTGCCAGTCAGTGCCCCCTATCAGTGCCGCCTATCAGTGCCATATATGAGTGCTGCCATTCAGTGCCCATCAGTGATGCCTATCAATGCCCATCAGTGCCACCTACCAGTGCCTCCTCATCAGTGCCCATCAGTGCCACCTATCAGTGTCCATCAGTGCAGCCTATCAATGCCCATCACTACAGCCTCATTAGCGCACATCAGTGAAGGAGAAAAATCACTTATTTACAAACTTTTATAACAAAAACTCAGAAAAAACATTTTTTTTTCAAAAGTTTCAGTGGTTTTTGGTTTGTTTAAGAAAAAAATAAAAAACCCAAAGGTTTTTTTACCACCAAAATAAAGCTCTATCTGTAACAAAAAAATTATAAACATTTCATATGGGTACAGTGTTGCATGACCGTGCAATTGTCATTTAAAGTGTGACAGCGCTGAAAGCTAGAAATTGGCCTGGGCAGGAAGGGGGTATAAGTGGCCTGTAGGCTAGTGGTTAAATATAAGTACCTGAAATAAATATAAGTATCTGAAATAAAATGCATGTACTGTAGCTTGGTATGGTACCAGGGGAGTTGGCTTTATGCTCCCTGCCCTCACTTTTCTGGCCAAGGTTCTGGTTGGAGTTTTAAGAGAACCCCATGCCATCTCCCCTTTTTTTGAGAAACACTACACATTTATTTTATTGTATGGGGTTCCAACCAGACCATTATACAGACTTGCACCCTGAGTGACCAGAAAAGAGAAGGTAGGAAGCATGCAACCCCCTCCACCTTTCTATATCACATGCCTTTGAACATTTGGGGGTACCCTGCAGGCAAAGCCTCCTTCCTTTGCAATGCACCAAGAGCCTCGTACTCACATCTTGTATTTCAAATAGATGTGGGGAGGTTGAGGGGGGATTGTAGAAGACCTCTTTATGCTAAAGGAGCCCACAGATATCTGCCCCCGCCCAGGAAAATAATTGTAAGGGTACATTAGTTCCACTCATTACTCATTTTCGGAAAGAGGCCAACACTGTGAAAAATAATTCTAATTACATTACATAAAAATTACAATAAAAAATTAAATAGTGTTATATTATGTAAATCTATTGCAAATCATGTCACCCAGTGATGTAACTCCAGTGATGTGGATACATACATGGCAACATTTACAAAATTCCTGCTAAATTCCTACTAAATATAAAAGTTAAAACTATATTCAGTTAATACATAATAAATATTTGTAAATTTTAAATTGTGAAATGATGAAAACAGAATTTTTGCAAAACTGGAAATAAAAACTATTTAGTCTCAGTATCTGGAGATTTCCATTTTCCCTTACAGCTTTCAGGATTTAAAAAGACCTCCCCAAACCATATATTTTCTGAAAGCACATGACCTGTACAATAAAAAAGTACTACTGATTCTTTAGGCCCCACAGTATTTGCACAAATGTTCACCAATCGCTATTTTCACTAAAAATACACTAAAATCATTATTAGTGCACACAAATACAACATAAATGACATGATTCCTGCTACATTGCTACTAAGGCCTCGTTTACATGGGGTGTACTAAAGTGGAGGGCCATGTTTACCCTCACGGAGATGCCCAGGTGTCCCATGCATCCCTATGCAGGCAGTCCCATTCATGTCAATTGCGATGCAATGACTGTACAGGCATAGCCATTGATCATGTTTGCCAATCCTCCTCCTACACCACTCTCCATCCTGACAGCTTGTGTACTGTCACCAAGCAGCAGCTGCAGATAGCAGGACAGGGAGGAGAGAATGCCGGATAGCAGCACAGCAGGATAGATCCTGGGGGATCGATGAGAGGGGGGCATTGCGGAGGGAGGTCAGAGCGACAGGGTGGGTGTATTTTCAAAACCCCTATGGCTGCCCTGAAGCTGGTGGGAGAGGTGAGAAGCCGCAGGGTAGCTACAGGGGATCGGGGTTGTGAGGGGGGGATCGGTATGGGGAGGGGGACATCGATGCTGGGGTGGCTGTGAATCAAAAGGTGAAGGGGCCAAAAGAATGAGGGGGGCAAAAAACAAGGGCAGGAGGTGGAAAATCAGATACAGGAAAGCAGCAGCATCGGTGGAATTGGTGGCCTCAGCTGGGGGGAAGGTCACATTTTAGCTGAATAACAGTAGATTACGGACCTGGCCAGCAAGAAGCAGTCCTGTAGGTCTGTACACCATATGTACTTGGCAGTGAAATGGTTAAAATAATTCTAAATGTGTCTGTATAAAGTGATATATTTTTAAAGAATCCAAACAGGCATTGACTTAACCTAGTTCAAATGTCTCAGTAATGATATGACTGACCATGCCCAGACTTGGAAACCTAAAAAGTGCCTTCACTTAAATGCCTTTGCCTATAGTAAATACCTTTGTCTGCAAGCTTGAAAATGTTGTTCAAAAGAGTGAACCTGTTTTTGTGAAAGTGTGATCAATAAACAGGCTAATATATACATATATATATATTTGTATTTAATGGTATACATCAATACTTGTAACTATAGAATTGTTACTACAGTATGCACAGAAACACCAACATAGATATTCTAAGAACTTTTTCATTTCCTTTGTAATTTTATTTAGTTGTGTTTTGCTTCTTATATACAATATTTATCTTTTCTCGTTTTTTACTGTGTTTTATTCTTTTTTCTTGGAGCATATATTCTCTGCAGTATTTACACTTATGTATGTACTGCCATGTGCATTGAGCATGCCCAGGGACTTAGACTTTTGAGATACACTATATTGGCAAACGGATTGGGACATCCCTCTAAATCATTAGATTCAGGTGTTCCAATCACCTCCATGGCCACAGGTGTATAAAATCAAGCACCTAGGCATGCAGACTGCTTCTACAAACATTTGTGAAAGAATGGTTTGCTCTCAGGAGCTCAGTGAATTCAAGTGTGGCACCGTGATAGGCAGGCCCAGACTGGGACAAAAATTAGGCCCGGGCATTTTAGACTGAGCAGCCAATTTCTGGGGTGGGGCGCAAGGGCATTCGCGGGGGCTGTTGGTGATGGAATATTCACGGAGTCGGAGTTGAAGCTATTATAGCAATATAGTGTATATTAACTAAGTGGTAGAAAAACCTGCACTTAGTGCTCAGCATCTAACAAACATATAAATCAAAACCTCCACAGCTTCATGAACCACACACAATATAAGTGCTGAAGCAAAATTAAAAGGAATATAAATGTTGAACTGTGTTACTAAATGTGTTGTGTGTTGGTTATATGTATCCCAATACAAAAGACCATGATATTATTCCTAAAAATGTGATATGTGTCCCAACATCATAAATACACATACAAATGATGGAAAAAAAATCAGAGGGTGACACCACTATTCCACAGTGACACACCAATAAGGAAAAAATATCAATTCATAAATCAATAAACATAGACACCGATGGAAGTCCACCACCTATATGCAAATATACAATTAAAATAAGTAGCTATGTGTAGGAGTGTCCCACCATCACTGCAAACCTTGCCATATGTTTTCACTCATAAATTACATCAATTGCAGCCTCTTACCAAGTGATAAGGCCCCAAATTATAGGGGTTCTTATAGCAGCATGTTGCCAGTAATCATCCATCACCAGCCTTGGACTCATATGGCATATCATAGCAAAAGGTTGTTTAGTAGCGCTCAGGAACTCCAGGGTAGAACAGCAGGGATTCACTGTTTCCATCTCCACTAAGCCGTTTACATTAAGCCATGTAAGGGATAAGCAAGCATATATTCCATAGTACAACCCACAGATTTTATGTAATAAATATTGTGCACCTACTCACATGCGTTCAAGGATAAATTGCACTGCTTGATGTACATGGCAGAGCAGAGGTGAAAAACGTGACACTTTGGAATAGTGGTGTCACCCTCTGAATACATATAGCCAATACACATCTGATTTAATAACACAGCACCCCAATTTGAATTCCATTTAAGATATATTGTTTGTTACACTGAGCATGCACAGAGACATAAGGCTAGTTCACACCAAAGAGATGAAGTCTACATGCATGTGACAGCGCAGTGGCTTAGTGGTTAGCACTTCTGCCTAGTAGCACTAGGGTTGCTTTAGGTAGGGTTAGAATCCAAGCCATGGCACTATCTGCATGGAGTTTGCATGTTCTCCCTGTGTCTGCGTGGGATTCCTCCCACACTCCAAAGACATGGTGCTAGTTGCTTTGGCTCCTGTCTAAATTATCCCTAGTATATGATTTAGGGATTTTAGATTAAAAGCTCCTTGAAGTCAATGTCTGATGTGAATGTACAATATGTATGTAAAGCGCTGTGTAAATTGACAGCACTATATAAGTACCTGAGCCAATAAAAATGCATGTTTTTTGTATGTGTTATATGCAGTTGCTACACTTTTTAGGAGGGTTTCACATAATGTAAACAAATGAGCTGACTTTACAAATAAAAAGTGTGTGTAGGGGGGGCTCCCTCTTCTACCCCCTTTCTGGCCTGCAGGACTGTATGCTCAGATAAGTGTGTGTTAGTGATTTTGGGGGGAAGCCACACTTCTTTTTTATTTTTTGCCCATGTGGTTCCCCTTCACATCTATGACAGACTGAAGGGCCCATGCTCTTTTGCTCCATATTGGATATTTTCAATCTTCTGTCATTGGGGAATCACTGCTGACAGCAGGGGTAAGTCACTGGTTGTTATTATGCCAGCAGATGCCATCTCCTAACCACAGAATTTGCAGGCAAAAATGCATTTCAGTGTGTTTAGGAGGTGTCTGGCCATGTTCCAGTGTAGGTCCATGCAGAACACATTCATCATATTCTAATTAATTGGGCTGCACAAGAACACCCTACACCGGGGTAAACTAGAGACATTGGAATAGATGGGAAATACTGGACATCTGTTTTGGATGACGAATGTGCTTGTCAGCAATTTCGGCGAAGCAGCCCTCACACATTTGAGATTTCCTCCTCTATACCCTGCACATGTCCAAGGACTTACAACTTGTGTTTTCTTTTAGCACTGAGCATGCCCAGGGACTTGGACATTACACATTTTCTGTTGTACACTGCACAGGTACATATGCTTAGATAACTGTTGCTTTCTTTCTGTGCATGCTAATGGACTTAGATGTTTGGCCTGTAGTCTGTGAATTGCTGCACATAGCCAAGGGGTAACACATTTAGAAGAAGGTGTGCCTGCTAATCAGGTGAAGTCACTTGA